TCTCCCCCTCCCTCCCTCGCTCGCTCGCTGTGGGACCGTGAGAAAGTTCCCTGGGAGCTACCTGAAAGACTGGCTTGTCTTGATTTGTTTTTCTCAAACGCGATAGCATCTAACTGGAGAGGACTCTGGGACAGGGGGAGTGGAGGGCCAGATGCCTATGGCCTCCTCCGAAGGGATGAGTCCAGTGTTGCTCCAGTTCCAGGAGGAATCAGATAGGGACTCTCCCACTGCCCACCCAGGATAGCTTCTGGCCGCTTCCTTTCCCTCTGTAGCCCACGAGCAGGGAGCCTGGGCCGCAGAGAGGGAACTGTCACTCTAGACAGCATACCTGAGCAGGGTGCCCCAGGGACACGTCCAGCCGGTCACAGCCAGCTTTGCTACAGCTGGGGAGACAACAGAAAAGGAGAGTGTCCCCCCACCCCCACTCCCCCACCCCCGACCCATACTTTCTCTCGGGCAGGGGATACCACTCAAAGACAGAGGCAAGAAACATAGGTCACCTTTGTCTCTTGATTCTGAGGGCAGCTCCCCTGTGCACAGGTGGGCATTGCATACCCCTCTGAGGGCAGGAAAGGTTTGGAAAAGCAAGCCAATACCTTCTCAAGGGAGGTGACACATGTCACCAACAAAAGTGCTTGCTCCCTCAGTGTGGGTCACTGCCCCACCCCCACCCCGGGAACCTCAGGACAAATCCAGGATTGACTCCTCCTCCCAATGCTGACGGTTGGAAAGCAGTAGAAACTAGCCGGTCTCGCGCAAGGCACCACACCCAGCACATACCCTAGTGAGAGTGCCACACATGAATCACCCTGCCGGGTCTGTGGCCTGCTTTGGAGATACCCCGTAGGGACCCCTCCAGGACCCAGCCAGCACTAGACTGGGTGACCTTTTATCACCACGCACTTGGCACCAGAAAAGGATGTTAGAATGCTGGCTGGCCCTGCCCCACTCCTCCCACCCACATCCTTTGGGGAGTTTTCTTCTCACCACTTGAGAACAGTATCTCCCCAGGGAGGCTAGTCCGATTTATCTGTTAGTCCTCAGCTATCTGCCTAGGCTGCATCCGGGGTTTGGGTGCCAGGGGTACCACAGACTGCCATGTGTGCCTCCTCACCCCCTCACCCCCTGTCTGTCCCATGACTGAGGCTGGAACTGGATGGGAGGCATCCAGGACCACCCATCATCCAACCTCTCCGTGTCCTGGCGAAAGCCAGTTGACATCAGGTCAGCCCGGAATCACAGCCAGCCTGTGTACATCAGAGTAGACAGAAGATCTTCAGTACTGGGTTTTTGGAAGGAGATGGTCAGGTCTTTTCTTCTTTGGAGGCAGAAGAAGAAAGTATCTAACTGGATACTCTCGGTGGACTTGACGCTGCAGCCTATTAAGCAACCGAGCATGTCAACCATGTATACCTCCCAGACACTGGTAGTCTCTTGCCCAGTGGCCGGCCACACCCTGCCCCTCCGCTCCTGTTCAGAGCTGCCCTGCCTGGGCCAGTTGCTGCTGGTCCACTGGATCTTCTGAAACAGAATGACTCACTCTGGGAATGTTTGGGTTTGGAGTTATGGCTGACTAGAGATCATCTAGTCCAGCCCCTTATTCACAAAGAGAATGCTGCGAGCCGGACACGGGCGGGTTTCCCCGGGATCACACGCGCTAATCAGAAGCCAAGCCAAGGGTACAGCTCACTTTGGTTCCGCCCTCATTTCCTCCCCAAATCGCCCAGGGGATCTGGTGATGGACCGGGTATAGGCAGGTGAGCCGTCGCGGTGTGCTCCTGAATCCACTATTGTTCTCCTGCCAGATTGGAGTCTATAGAGTTGAAGGTCCATCTCCCAGGAGAGGGTGGTAAGAGATATTGTGGCCCATTTGTGTACGGGTTTCACGGTCTGCAAAGGCCTTTCTTTTCCGGCACCTGGCACCTAGCCAGAGCAAGGAGCATCAGCCCATTTTTCTGATGGTCACCACGGTAGCAAACATAGCAGGATGGCCTCAAATGTCTGTGGGAACTCAGGTCAGACAGGTTTCAAGTCCATTGCCACATACAGCCTGGCCCAGGCAGGGTTGGCTGCAAGGTGGAAATAGACCAGGGGTGGAAACAAGTTCTCAGAAAGCATCTTTAAAAGGAAGTTGCTTGGCTAATGATGACGAAGTCACTACTTCCCTTTCTCTCTTGAGACCAAGACTGTGGGTAGACTTCCCATTTGGGACCTGATAGGGGCCTTAACAGGAACCCATAAGTTGTCGGTTCAAATCCACCAGCCCCTCCTAGGGAAAAAGATGCCACAGCCTGATTCTGTCAAGAAGCCCTAGGGGCAGTTTCATACTGTCATTACAAGGTCACTGAGTCAGAACCAAGCCTATACAGCAGAGGGCTTGGCTATGGGCCTTAGCAGGCAGTTGTGGGGCCAAGGGCCAGCAGTGTTCCAGTCTGGCAGAAAAGGAGCCAGCAGTGGGGTGGTCAGGTGAGCACCACTTTGCTAGCCCTCACCCCTGCTGGACACTCTTACAGCCCAGGCGGAGCCAACTGCCCTCTCTCAGCAGCGCCTCAGATGCCCACAGCCAAACCAACAATCAGTCTGTTTTTCCAACACCCCCGTAGCCCAAACTCCTAGCTCTATTTCAGTTGCTTCTGTATTTCCTTCCGACCTTCCTACCCACCCACCCCCCACGCCACCCCCCAAAATTTAGAAGACAAACATCTTACGGATGTCAGCGTGACAAAAAACGACAGCTATTTCAAGGTGACTTGGGCTAACGAAGGTGGGGCCAGAAAGGTGTCTTTCCGGTCCATGGCTCCCCACCTCCACACACCCCAACCCTAGTCCGGCACCTAGAGGGCTTCCTCAAAATGGACATGCCTGGCGCTTGGTGTAGTTCCTGTGCTACTCCCCTTTGCTCCCCGACTTTCACCCCATGCCCTCACTCACTGATGGAAAAAGCAGGCAGTTTCCCCCTGCGTTCCCCACAAGAGGCACGCCCTGTCCCTCACAGAGGCTACCTGGCAGCACAACGGAGCCCCTGTTCTGTGAATTCAGAGCTCTGCGTGTTGATCCAGCCCTGCCTGCAACCCACTTTGAAACCGTGGGCTCCAGACCCCAGGGCCGTCATCTATAAAACCAGATGTTTGGAACAAACATCTCCAAAAGGTTCCATCAAGCTCAGCCTGTGCTGCCAGCCAATCCACCCCACCCCAACACACACACACATACACACACCACCCACAACAATAGGCCTTGCCCACACCACCCAAAATAGGAGTCAGGAAATGGAAGTGTGTGGCAGACACCAAGACTTCTCTGAACTTGGCTTCAAGTCATTCCCCTCTTGACCTTGATCTCTGGAGTCTTCATTCTTGTCCCTCATCCCTCACAGTTCCCTCCATGAACCCTGAGGAGAGGTGGTCTCTGCCTGGGGGCGCTCTGTTTCCTTGCCCATGACCCTTACTTAGCTAAGGCATGTGGTTGTACGGTCTAGTGGTTGGAGCTTTGCCTCTGGAATCAATTTCCCATCATCAGATGGGGTCTTCTCAACAGGGTTGCTGAGAGGGTTAAATGAAAAAATACAGCCAATGCAATAAGCAGAGAGGCCGAGGACTCGATGCACAATAAATGCCCAACTACTCTTCTATATTAGTTGTAATTAGATTGAGGCAGGCAGGGAGGATGGGAGCAACTCCCTGAGAGGTGTGCACACGTCCACCACAGACTCTACACCAGGCACAGGTTCTGAGTCTGCAACATGCCCCCTGCTTCATTGCTCGTTCAGTGTCTGTTCGTTCGTTCTCTCTTTGTTCTTCCTTCCTTCCGTCGTTCTCTTTCTTTCTATTCCCCCGCACCCGTGCCAACCTCAGACATGGCCGCCCCGTCTCTGCACGTCCTGCGGCAGGTTGTGTTGCTACACGGTTGACTTTAGAGCTGTCTCACTTCCCAAAAGCAAACTGCTGGGCAGGACACGGGCCAGGTGAGGTGGCGATGGCAAAGCCCCTGCCACCTAACTGGCTGCCTGGCCCAGGTGTTGTCTGACTTCCATGCTGGGGCTGAGCGAGGCGTTCGGGCTTTCCTAAAATGGCTTCCCCCCTTTGGCACCCAGACAGCTGGTGCGGGCTGTGACGCTGGCCATGTGTGCACCCTGGCAGGTACGGGGAGAGGTGAGGCCAGTCTGACCTGCTAAGGAAAACAGGGCTCCTCCGAGCTCAGAGTCTTGGCGGCATGCGCCTACTTTTT